CACACATCTGCCTACCTCTTCCCCCACACTTGAACGGGCTTCATGAGACACGACACTGCACAACCTTGACAGTCTGCAGCCTTGACTACGTGTGGAATCCCAGCCCCGAGGAATTTCAGAGCCGGCTAGACAAACATCTCGGGGAGGTGCGAGATCCTGCCTTGGGCAGGAATGAACAAGGTGACCCTTCATTCTCTCTGACCTTTGAAAGCATAAAAAGGCTTATAATGAACAGCAGCCTCCAATATGGAGCTCTCTCCCTCACTATTTCATTATTTCATTTACACAGGACCTATAAAAGTTACCTCAGTAAGAAAGAAGACTCAAGAAACGTCAATCATGACTACTTACTATCTCTGACCCTAATAAAAATTAAGAGCATTGCTGGTTAATTAGCCTTTCTTTCAAAGTTCCCCAGATAGAAAATGGAAGTATTTTAGACCCATTCTTTCCTTTGGTCAAGCACTCTAGAAGAACGACTCTATGCAACACCTTGCACAACAGGATCATCATCTTTATCAAAACTATAAGGTGATACAGGTCGCATCTCTTAGCACTATTTAGATAACTTTAAAAACTTAGTCGTAGACTAAAAAAACATTAAAAATCCTCTACAAATATGAAAGGGAAGCTAAACTCAACAAGGTTAGTTTTAAAAGGCAAGCAAGTTAGAAGTCAAATTAATTTTTGAAACTTCCGTTTTAATATTCAATATGCAAACCATAGCAGATGAGCAATCTTTAAACAGATCCAAAACACCAGTGGACAGAAGCAACCCACAAATGCAGCTGAAGGCATCTTCAGCATTCCTTAGTGACTAATATTGATCATGAAGATTAAATTGACCTTGTTTCACTCATGGAAAGCAGAACAAAAAATGGGATACTGGAAAGCCAACCCTTCCCAGTGAGTAATAATATTCATTATGGTTTAAAATATTCTCCACATCTTACTGGAAATCGTCTACATAAATCTACATAAAACTTTTCATATTTGAAAGTGAACTGCTGCAGAATAAGAAAACACTCAGATATACTACTGTTAGCTAGCTCTAAATTAAAAATGTATCAGCATGGAGGTCATCATTATTACACTGCTCTCATCAGCTAATATTTTGTTACAAGTGGTTATTTTAAGCTTAAACTATTTGCTCACTAGAGCCAGCATCGCAATACGCAAGCATCAGAGATTTAGCCAGCTTTCTAGCAACCTCACATATGATACATATGATACATGTCAACATTTCCAAAGCATACACATGCACTACTACACACAACAGGTACACATTTTCAAGCACAGGAGGGCCTAATTGTTACCTCCAAAGCCCCAAATAAATATGTAGATTCTCAGGTTGTTAAAAAAAAAAAGTCAGAGAGAAAGCAATAAGGCACAGCTTACCTCTAAGAACAGATATTTAAAACTGAATTATGGACAACTTTCCTGGCTATACCATCACGCAGTAGAAGGACTGGCAAAGTGTGAGCCAGTGTGATTAACAGAAAAAAATGCTTTGGAAGGGAATGAAAGATTTCCCCTGAATGCTGGGTCCAACCAGCACAGACTCAATTCTCATTCTGATGAGCACATCTCTACTTTGCAAGTATTTACTGCAGCCAGGATGAACCAGTCTGACAAATTAATGCTCTATAAGTGAGTAAATCTCAAAAAAATCTGCATCTGCTCTCAGACTTCAGTGGCAGCTAATGCTACTGAAATGCTGCTGATACAAAACCAATTTTAAATCAAATTTCATCTGAACCAGATTTGTATCAAGTCCATGCTTTTTTTTTTTTTCCCCTAACTTGAAGCTTAAGCAAAATGAAGCAAATTAGCTTATGCAGCTAATTAACACAATCTGGAAGACTTTTACATGGAAGACTTTGGCATTTGGGAGAGCACAACACACTTTTCAGCCTATTTTGATGGCACCAGAGAGGTTCTGGAATTAACGAGGACAGGCAAAATTCAGCATTGTTACTGTTCAAAATAAGAAAAACAACTCTAAACTACACAAAAGAGGGGCTGAGGAACACTGACTACGTAACCTCTGGGTCATTTATTTTTTTCTGAGATAAAGATAACCAATTTTCACCTGTTCTGGACTTTTCTTTTAACACTAAAAAAAAAAAAAAAGGTAACACACCCAAACACACCCAAATTGTCTAACTCAGACTGGATTCACAGCCCTGAGAAGCTCAGCCCACCCCTGAAGACATGCCAATACACACGCTGTCTGAAGAACACTCCCTAGCTAGAAAAGAAAAACAGCATTATAAGAGAATGGCCATTAATATTCTTCAGCACATACCTCCAAGGACCAAATACCCTTGTTTTCTCAAGCCTCTCTACTGTCTCTGGGCACTAGCCTGTTTCTCACAACATTATGGTTTTTCAACTCAAATGCTGTCTATTCTTTCTACAGGCATCTAAGGGGAGGGCTCAAGCCCCTTGCTCCCTTCATGCCTGCTTTGCAAGAAGCCACAACTGCCACCTTCAGCATTGCTCTTTGACAACTCCGCAAGCACCAGTTTGTCTACAAGGTAAGGTGGGAAATGGGAGTCTGTTTCCAAGGTGTGAGATCTTTGCCTTTCCCAGCCGCACAGGTCATGGGACTCTTCTCGGGAACTCTAAGAAAGAAGAGCAGCAATGGGGCAGTACTTGCAGTACAGGTTTGTATTTAATCAACAAAACCAACCTCGCAGTAAGTATTCATTTTCTGTTGCCAAGCAGGACTGGGCACTATCAACAGCTCACAGATAGATTGCCTATCGCCAAGCCTACCCTAGTAGACCAAACAGGGCCAGGACAAGAGCCTGAGCATCGCTGCATAGAAATCCCCACCAATAAATCATTAATACAACCCTGAAACAACCCGACCTGTGCCGATGACTGGGGTTAATAGGAGCCAGGGACTATTCCCAATAGGCAGCTTGGATGCAGCTTCCTGTTTTGGGAGGGAGAGGAAGGCAGTAGTCAACTGAAAGGACATGGGTCATGCCATGCCAGTTGGCCTCAGACCAAACAGTTGCTTCACTAGGATGCACATAGTTCCAAGGGTGCTCACAATCACAGAAACTGAAGAGCCAAAGAGCCAAAGGAAAAAGCAGAGTGTAAGACTGCCCAGAGCACATGATTTGTTCACTATCAGGCTAAGAAGGATGAAGCACCATTGTTAGGTAACGTAAGGTAAGAATGAAAAATTATCAACATCTCTGTTCAAACGCATTCACTGTGTCTTAACCTTTCTATGCTGTCGCTCACGTCTTTCCCGCTAGAAACCCGTCTGAGGAATCCACCACTGAATTTAAGCCCTGGGCAATACAAACAGCATGTAAAAGTTTAACAGATGATATATGCTTTTAATTTTCATCTTCAAGACCTATAGTTGCATATTTTAAAACATTGACTTACTCAAGAAATTTTGAAGTAGAGCACAAGCTGTGGTGAAGGAATGCAGTGCTGACAACCACCCCTTCACTGCCACTCAGTAATGCAATGACACTAGGGAAAAGGTAAGTCCAGGAATTTTTCTCTTGAAAGAACACTGTCAAGCACAAAGATTCTGAAATGCAATCTACTTCCAGAAATTGATTTTATTGTCTGCTTTGTTTTGAAAAGACCTGATAGATCTATCTGCTAGACTCTTCTTGTCAAGTAAATTGTGTCCTGAACATGCCCACCTCTGAAAAAGCTCAAGCTATTGGGGTGGCTGATAACAGGACTAAACCACTCCAAGGAACCACAGCCACGCTATAGGTGCTGCTCGCTCTCTGTGGCGACTCAGAGTCTACAGAACTTCATTTTCAGGGGCCATGACTTCTAAGTTCTTTTTAAAAATTTCAGCAGAGGCATTTTCCTGTTTAACCATGGGAAATGGTGAAATTTTCACTATTTAACCAAAGCTTGTGTCTGTGCACAATTCTTCTCACAATACTACTTCACTTTTATAATCATCTCAGCATATTTTTTGATTATTTCGCACTGTAATTTCAATAATAGCTGCCACAAGTGCATTTACACAACACTGCAAAGACATTAAAGTACGCATAGTGTGGGAAACACACAAAATAAATTGTAGGCACAGTCAATGCCTACTTTGCACTTCCACAAGAAACATTTGGGGATGTGCCCTGCTTTTGTGCTCAGGTCTGCACTTAGTAAACACCATGCAAAGACACTTTGCTGAATCACAGTCGATATCTAAAGTCTCCTAGTAGCTTTTACACATATCTATTAAAACAAAATCCAAAGACTTTTCTGATGTTTTTGTTTAGCTAAATCAGCAAAATTCTTACTGACGCAAATTAAAGCAGGCCTAGGTACCTACAGACACACAAATGTGTTTGACACTGATCCACTGCTATACATCAGGTTGTAATCCCAGAATCAGTATCAGAGCTGGTTTTGTGTTACTTATTTAAAAAAAAATACTATAAACTGATTAAAGTTTAATCAACTTTAAATGAGCCACTCCTTTTCTATTAAGATGTGTGGAGTATTTCAGACAAGTGGCAAAGACATCCCTTAAGTTCTTACAAGAACATCCAACACTTCGTTCAACAGTGATTTAGCATCAGTGCTATGATGGGGGCTGTCCCCAAATAGCTTAAACCAAAAGACTTTACTGACTTCTGCAGCCAACAGAAAACTTTCCACTAACTTTAGTGAATTTTGGATTAGGCCCTGTATCTCCTTTTTTATCTTACACCCGTTCTTATTTTACACATTACTTTTGGATCCTTTCAGGCAGTTCATGCTGCTCCAAGCACTTATGCCAAGATGGGAAGATTCCTCTCCCCTTAGAGACAGGGGCCGAGGGACGGATTTCCAGGCTGCTCCAGCGCCCCGGGCACCCTCGCGTGCCCCGCTGCCACACGCCGCGATCCCCGGGGGCACCTTTGGCTCCCTCCGAGCGCCGATGAGCACCTCCCGCCCCGGCTCCCCCCGCGCTTGCGAGGCGGCCGCGCTCCGCTGCGCTCCTGCGGGCCCGCCGCCCTTACCAGAGGGCGATCCTGCCCTTGGGGTAGCGCAGCCGCTCGATGCAGCCCAGGACGTGGGGCAGCGCGTGCGCCGCGTTGCGGGCGATGATGGCGAGCAGCACGGTGGGCGCCTGCAGCGCCGACTCGCCCGGGGGCTGCGCGCCC